CATCTAGTGGCAAGACTTGGGGAGAAAGCAATGGCTAAGATTATCCTACATCACCCATTTTCGCACAACACACTTCCGACTTCTAAAATCCATAACTTTCACATACGACCTCCGTTTTTGACGTTCTTTATATCCACGTGTAGGTAAAAATAATATCTACAACTTTCATTTTGACTCCGTTGGCTAATTCTCGATCGATCTTAAATTTAACAGTACGAGGCGTTTAGACTGTTAAATGACCGCGAAGAATTCGTAACTCCTTCATACGGACTTTGTTTTCGTCTGTGTTTTTACTGTTAAGATCTTCAACTCTTATTTAATTCACGTAAGCCAAAAACCGCTCGAACTAAAATTCGAGTTTCGGGCCGTGCACTACTAAGCTGAATCTTAGAAAAATCATAACTTCTTCATACGAAGTCAGATTTGGGCGTTCTTTTTATGGATTTTCTTGGTTTAACATATTATACGACTTTCGTTTAGATCACTAAGGCTAAAAAGTCATCCATCATAAAATCACTATTTATGCTTCTCGGTGTCGTGCCGGTTCCTTAGCGAAACTTCGACGAGTCATAATTTCTTCGTTATAACTCCGATTTCGACGCTCTTTATATGTACGGAAACCTTGTGACATATTCTACAACTTGGTTAATATTATTTATTCTAAATAATCTTTTGTCGAAAAGTTATTTTCGACCCCTATTACCTCTAAATTGACTAGTCGGATCTACGGGCGTTACATACTCCCCAACTATATATGCACAAAACATTTAGTTAAAAACTGAAAATCCTCCTAAGGGTAAAATAACCATTTTACCCCTGGTCAAAGTCAAAGCTCTGGTCAAAGTTAACATTTTGGGTTGACCAACTCGCCGAGTCAACCTATCGACTCGACTCGCCAAGTTCTTTAACTCAAAAATCCTGGAGTCACGACCCAACTCGCCGAGTCGTTCTTCCGACTCGTCGAGTCCTATCGAACTGCTCAAAGTCGCGACTTAGAAAATCAACTCATCGAGTTCCTCTACAAATTCGTTGAGTTCTACCTTAAATTGGAATGAGATAACATGGCCCGGCTCGCCTAGTTCCCTTATGGACTCGACGAGTCCCTTTGTCTGTTTGGCCATCTTAACAGATTAAACCCCTATTTTCTAGATCCAAAGTCCATACTTCGTTTGTTCACTGGAAATGATATTTTTAAGGGTAAAGTTTCCAACTTTACCTATTGATAGCCCTTCTTAAAGGGTTTAACTAAAACCCTAATTCTATTAGGACATAGATCTTTGTCCAAAAGTCTTAATATCCCAAACCAAAGCATGAAAACCTAGATCTAGGGCCTAGATACCAGTTGAACATGTAAAGTCTCAAGCTTGCTTCCATGCATGGCCTTTTGGGCTCCAAAAGGCCATAATAACGTCCTTAGAACTTGCATGGGGGCTCTAATGACATAAAGTGTGCACCTTTATGCTATTCTAGCCCTTTAAGGTCTTAGATCTGGAATATTACCCTCTTGAGTCGATCATTCTCCAAAGGCTATCATTCATTGGCCAAAAACTCACATAAGGAGGACATAAAGAGATCTAATGAACTAATAGACTAGATAGAAGCTTGATTACCAGGAAATGTAGCAAATGAAGTGTAGTTCCCGGATCTACTCTTCCCCTATTGAGCCCTCTATATTCTTCTTATTCTACAAGCTTCAAAATCACACCAAGATCAATCAAAATGGCTCACACTCTCAAAGATACTCTAGGGTTTTCGTGGATTAGGGTTTAGGATAAGGAGGTTGGAAATGAGGCCAAGGGGTGGGGGTTAATGAGCTTAAATAGGGTATAAAAACCGGAAATTAGGGTTTCACTCTAGCCGGGCTGCTCGTCGAGTCGAGGTCTCTTGACTCATCGAGTAACTAGGTTAAACCCCGTGCATAATCTGCCTTCTACTCGATGAGTTAGGGCCACCAACTCATCGAGTCTCTATTTCAAAATAAATAAATAAATGACTTAAGCGTGTACCAGGAACCAGACGTTACAATCTATTATATATATATATATATATATATATATATATATATGTTGATATATTGTGTTGGATTGAGGTTGTATTGCTTTGTATTGTAGCCAACAAACCCGGGAGCACTCCAGATATGAGCCGAGGGTCGATTGGCATGCCATACTCATACTGAGGACTCTAGAGCATTTTAGATACGAGTTGAGGGTCGGTTGGTATGCTAGACTCATACTGAGGGCCGAGGGTATTTCAGATCGACGACTGAGTGGACCCGTCGTATGTTAGCATTCCAATCCGATGATTGATTGGGATAAGGGTAAACCAGACATAAGTTGTGGGCCCTAGGGCAAGCTAGACTTGTGTTGTGGGCTCAAGAGCAAGCCATATATGAGTTTTGAGCCTGATAGGCATGTCATACTCATACTGTAGGCTCAGGGGTAATCCAATGTTATGGACCCAGTACATGCTATTATTTGTTATGTTTTCGTGGTGGTACTTTGGGGGAACTCACTAAAAGCTGGCTTACAGTTTTAGTTTTGTTTCAGGTACTTCAGAGGACCGTGACAATGCAAAGGTGTGACCATACGCATCCTTGGTTTTATGACTCATTGGATTGTGGGAGGTCTGATTTTAAATAATGTGTAAACACTTCTTTTAGTAGATGACTTGTTTTGAAAAGTTTAAATTTGTTGTAATTTTTAGGATGTTACACGACAATAAGGTTAGAAACAGTAATAAATTTGAGATAATCAAATAAATAGAAATAGTAACCATTCAGAGGACTGTGACAATGCAAAGGCATGACCATACATATCCTTGATTTTATGACTGATTGGATCGTGGGAGGTCTGATTTTAAATAATGTGTAAACACTTCTTTTAGTAGATGACTTGTTTTGAAAAGTTTAAATTTGTTGTATTTTTTGGATGCTACACGACAATAGTTTCAGAAACAGTAACGTATTTGAGATAATCGAATAAACAGAAATAGTAACCGCAACTAATTTGATCAATTGTGAAATCAAATTAGCGATTTACCATTCTGATGAACATTGTCCATACTGAATTAATGATTTACCATTCACATAAAAAAATGGAAGTATCATGCTAAAGTAATCATTTTAGTACACATGTCATCTCAATATCTATTGCTGAATTGCTTTTCCAACCCAATGCTTTTCTAGTTTCATAGGTCGAATTACCCTTTTGCTCTTATATTTCCTTACTTAAAGGTTTTCTACATCTAATTTGTAATCAAATTAAAATAAATCACATAAATTTAGGAGTTTATTGATATCTTCAAAAGATAAATTTGAATATTTTTATTCTTTCCCAAATGAAATTACCTTTCTTCCCCTAAACCTTAAAATCATACTTAACATTTAAAAAAACTATCTAATAATATCAATACCATTTAGTTATGATTTTAATTTAAAGTTTAACTATTGTAATCCAGCCATCATATTAGGATATTAATTTACATTCAATAACTAAAAAATATATTTTTATTCCTATTATACCCTTATCCTCAATTTTCCATTCGGTATTACCATATTTTTATCTTAACAATTTTTTGAGTTATATATCAAGATTGCAATCCATGTAATTCAGCCAACAATTTAAGATATTATATACAATCAAAAACAATATTCAGGTTGAGATAATCAAACAAACATAAATAGTAGTGGATAATGATTTGATCCGTGTTTAAATTAAATTACCGATTTACACTTCTGATGAACATTGTAGATACTAAATTAATGATTTACCCTTCAGATAAAAAATGGAAGTATAATGCTAAACAAATACACAAAAAAATTTGATTATCATGAACAAGAAAATGGTTAGGGATACATTTATCATTCCATCAAAATACTTTGTTATAATTTGTTTTAACTGGTTTCCATCTAAATACATTTTTTTTTTGGATTAAAGGTAAGCAATGTCTTTTACTATTTATTTGAAAAGTTTCAGAAAAGTAGTTAACCGATTTTATGTAATTTTTGACAAAGAAAATCGAAATATATGAATACATATATTTGATAAAGGAACAAAAAAATAATCAAAAAAATATAAAAAGCGAAAGAAGGTACTGATCTTCTAGTGTACAACAACGAAAGTTTGAAACAGAGAATGATGATGGAAGTTATAATCAATAAGAATGATATTATTAGAGAACGTTTGAAAAAAAAATAACGATTGAAAATAAGTGTGAGTCGTGAATTCAAGGATGAATCGTATATATATGATAATTTGAATATGGTTTTTTTGGTATTAATCGTTTCCTAATAAAAATGGATTTTATATTAATGGTTTACTAATATAAACATATTTATATTAATGGTTGATATTTAACGTCTTAATTGAAATGATTTTTAGTAATATGTTTTTTAAAGTTGACCATATTAAAATCTTTATAACCGGAAATTAAAAATTTAAAATATGTGAAACTTTTATTGGAATTAAATATATTTCATTTCAACGGATGGAAATTAATTTTGTTTGTCAATTGAAAAACTTATATTGGAATTAAATAAATTGTATTTGGGGAAGATGATGTCCAATTTGATATAAGGGTGGAAAATATAAGATTGAAATAAAACCAAGAGCCCAGATTGTTTATAATGATTTCATACGTTTTCTATTTTAATATATATTAAAGATTACTTATTCATCATTTCGGCCGTATATATTTTGAAATTTTACTTTAAAAGTGTTTAATGTTTAGTCTTTTATTTATATATATATATATATATATATATATATATATATATATATATTTATCAACCAGTATAATACACGAGTTTCACAACTAATAAAAAAATAATCAAAAACATTTTATTTTTTTTCAAAATCAAACACCCCTTCAACAAATTATTATTATTATTATTATTTTCTATAATTATATACACAATTAGTAAATCACTAAAACATAAAATTTCTTTTTAAGGTTTTTCCCCTCCGTATACATACATAATTTTTATATGGACATTCGTGTGTGTGTTTTAGTGTGTGTATAGTACACAGGATCTTTCTCTGTCTTTTGACACCATCTACCACGTTAAAACCGTGAAATGGTAGAAAAAGGTTAAAAGTGAAACCCCAACCGCCGTTACCACCACCACCGCCGCCGGACAACCACTTCAAGATTTCAAGAACTCCGGTAAATCAATCGTCATCTCAATCTGAAAAGTACAACCTTTATACCCACCCCACCGACAGTTAATCTCAAAGGGGTTTATCTTGCGGCAAATCCTGCCGACGAATTTCCGAATTTGGTAATTTACTATCCTACCCTTGCTCGGACCCTCCAAGAACCACCGTACATGGTGGGGCCCACCTCCCCACCACCACCATCTCCTCGACAGGGCCCCACTTCCTCCGAATTACAACTCATACTCTACTTTCTCTCACTAAAATCATCAAAAAACCCTTCCTACAGATCCATCAAAGCGATCTGTGTCTGTGTCCCTTATGTATTACGCGTTGAACTTTCAACGCCCATCTCTCTCTCTAAAAAATTAACACAAGTTATCTTTTTCATTGATCTCTTCTTCAACCATTAACCCCTTTTCTGTGATCCACAAACACAAAACATTACAGCTCAACAAACCCCCAACTGGGTTCTCTTCTCTCCATCAAGAAAGGAATCAATCGAAACCACCACTTGATTATTTTAATCAACATCTTGGTTTTTATCTTTCATATATTATATTCCAAATTATATACGTATTTGCTGTTTACATTTCGTTTTCGGTCGTATTATAATGTGGGTTTGGTTTTCTCTCTGATGGGTATATTAAATAAGTGAGAGAAAGAACACAAAACAAGTGTAGAGAGAGAGTTAGAGAGAGAAACAAAGAGAGGAAAGCTCTCTAGTCTCTACTTTGTTCATGGGTTTCTTCAAGAGATTTGTCGTGTGAAGTGCGTTCTCTTGGATTTCTCAAAGTCTGTTTCTTTCAGTGTTTATGTGTTTAAGTTTGTGTGTATTTCGGTGATTCAATGGATACAAAAGGACGGCTTGTTGCGGGTTCACACAATCGTAATGAATTTGTTCTAATCAATGCGGATGAAGTTGGAAGAGTAAGTTAGAATTCCCAATCTAAATCCTTCTTCTTTTTATCTCAACTGGGTTTCAAATCTTACTTCCATTTATGGCTTAAATGTTGCAATATCTCTACTTCTTGAACTGAATTCGTGCATTTAGACTTCTTATTTGAGTTCCTATCGTCAAATAAAGCAAATTTTCTATATTTATTTCTGTCGGTGGCTTCAACAGTGTTGAAGAAACTACTCTTTTGGATAAGAATCACTGTTCATACGATAGATTTGGGTTTCACATCACACAATTCATCTTCGATTCCAAAGATTATCACTTGAAATCTTGTTTTTCTTTATCTATTAGGTAGTTAAATAAAGATTACACCTTTTTCTTGGAATCCATGTTAATTTGGGATCTATCGGTCAAGATTTAAGGATCAATTAGTTGACTTTCGATGAAATCTAAACTACTTTCGATTTCTTTCAACAGGTGACTTCTGTTAAAGAATTGAGTGGACAGATTTGTCAGATTTGTGGAGATGAGATTGAAATAACAGTCGATGGAGAACCATTTGTCGCTTGCAATGAATGTGCTTTCCCGATTTGTAGACCTTGCTATGAATACGAAAGAAGAGAGGGTAATCAAGCTTGTCCTCAATGCAAAACTCGATACAAGCGGATTAAAGGTAAGCAAAAATGGTTAATTTTATCTTTTTCATACCAATTTTACTCAAAACACTTAGCTTTGTGTGAATCTTTATCTAATTTGTTGGATCTTGATTAGGGAGTCCAAGAGTTGATGGTGATGAAGATGAGGAGGGATTTGATGATTTGGACAATGAGTTTGATCTTGCAAACTATTCAGGAAGAGATCCTCACAATGTTGCTGACATGGCGTTCTCTTCGCGTCTTAATATCGGGCGGGGCCCATCTAATGCTTCTGGATTTGCCACCCCTTCTGAGGTGGATGCAGCCGCCTTGAACCCTGAGATCCCTCTTCTTACTTTTGGTCAAGAGGTAGTAATATGTAATAGGCTTAATAGCCATAATTCTATTTCACTTGATACTTTAATTTATGAATTTATACAAATTTCAAAGACCTTTGGACAATGTGCTCTTAGTGGGCCACTGTGTACCTGATTTGTGTGAAACAGCTCAGGGGTTGTTGAAAGGGTTGTTGAAAGAATAACCGTTTTGCAGAGGCGTAGTGTCAATGGGTCAAAATCAAGATTTACAAACTTTATTGTGATTTCAAGTTGTGAGAGTTTAATTAATGTGATTTTCTTTTTTTGTTTTATTGAAGGATGATGGGATTTCGGCTGATAAACATGCTTTAATTATTCCACCATTTATGAATCGGACAAAACGTGTCCATCCAATGCCGTTTTCTGACACGGCTTCACAAGTTTCTTGTAAGAATTGGTTTATGATAAAGTTTGAATTTTTTTTAAAGACAATTAGTTTTCTTGACTAATCTTTTTTTGGTGTTTATAGTGCCACCTAGACCAATGGATCCAAAGAAAGATTTGGCAGTTTATGGGTATGGAACAGTTGCTTGGAAAGATAGAATGGAGGAATGGAGGAAAAGGCAAAATGATAAACTCCAAATGGTTAAGCATGAGGGTGGTGGACATAATGATGGAGATGTTGATGATCCTGATATGCCCAAGTAAGTGGATCCTTTTCAAAAGATAATTTTTTATTATAATTGTTTGTTAGTTTAGTTCTTGAGTAATGATAAGTTAATAAAAATCGAATCTTTATACAGAAATGACACAAAATCTTGCGTATATTGTTACTTTATTGGACACTTTTTGCCTCATAAAAGTTGCAACTTTACCTTTGTATTGACAATATTTCTTGTTAAGGTCGCATATCTTTTGATTTTCTCCCCCAAGATTCTTTCTTTTTTTGTCATTGTAGGAGGGTGTTTGGGATATTTCATTGAAAGTTAAGTTAAACACACCTTAAGTCAGCTATGTATCGAGTCAAATGTTTCAATTTTCATCGATAAAAAACAATTATAAATTCACATTGCGACTTATGAAAGCATAATTGGTAATTTACTAATTAGTCGCACAAAAAAAGTTCACTTGATGTAGTTTATTGTCTTGTTATAGGCATATGTATATACATTCATGCATACATATGTCCCATAACCTTTAAGGTGTTGTTTCTTTTTGACTTAATGGAGACAAGAATTAATCCGGTAAGCTACATGTAAATATTCTTTTACGACTTATTGTAGAAACAACTACTCAATATAGAAAGTCAAAGAAAAAGGCTTTCCCTTTCTACAAAAGTTGCCCTCATTTATCCTTTCCTTCTATTTCCTTAAATGTGTTATCGTTTTCTCAATTAAAAAAAGAAAGTTAAAAGGAGTTAAGGAGTTAAGGACCCATGCTTGCTTTTAGGTTGCATCATTTTCTCCGACCTAGGATGAAAGGCGTCTTATTATTGTTGATTGTTAATATAACATGCAATCTACTAAAAAAATACTTTTTTTTTTTGAATCTTTATAGGATGGATGAAGGGAGGCAACCACTTTCAAGAAAGCTACCGATTTCTTCAAGCAAGATAAATCCATATCGAATGGTGATATTGATTCGTATGGTGATTCTTGGCCTCTTTTTCCACTATAGAATCCTCCACCCTGTGAACGATGCATACGCCTTGTGGCTCATTTCAGTTATTTGTGAAATCTGGTTTGCTGTTTCATGGATCTTTGATCAATTCCCAAAATGGTTCCCAATTGAACGTGAAACATACCTTGATCGATTATCACTAAGGTACATAAATTGTTATTTATTCAACTCCCATTAATATCTTTCTTTGCATCTCTAGTTTAAAAAATTTTAACCTAAGTTTTTTATTTTAGGTATGAGAAAGAGGGGAAGGCATCCGAGTTAGCTCCTATAGATGTGTTTGTGAGTACGGTGGATCCGTTGAAAGAGCCGCCACTTATCACCGCCAACACGGTGTTGTCAATCCTGGCGGTGGATTATCCGGTGGACAAGGTGGCTTGCTATGTCTCTGATGATGGTGCTGCCATGCTTACCTTTGAAGCTCTTTCAGAAACTTCTGAATTTGCAAGAAAATGGGTACCCTTTTGCAAGAAGTTTAACATTGAGCCACGTGCCCCTGAGTGGTATTTTGCTGAAAAAGTTGATTATCTTAAAGATAAAGTACACCCTTCATTTGTCAGGGAACGTCGTGCTATGAAGGTAAGAATCTTCTTATTTGACTTTTTAGGTCAAACCTATACATATATATAGACTTATATGATGATAAACTTTATAAAATTATAGAGGGAGTATGAAGATTTTAAGGTGAGGATCAATGGGCTTGTGACAATGGCTCAGAAGGTTCCGGAAGAAGGGTGGACTATGCAAGATGGTACTCCATGGCCAGGAAATGATGTTAGGGATCATCCTGGAATGATTCAGGTGTGCTTAATATAATATAATATAAATATATTGGTTTTTCTTTTATATAAACTTGATAATAACAAGAGGTTTCTTTTATTATGAAAATAGGTTTTTCTTGGGAATAATGGTGTACATGACATAGAAGGAAACGAGTTGCCACGTCTTGTTTATGTATCTCGTGAAAAGAGACCTGGATTTGATCATCACAAGAAAGCTGGTGCCATGAATTCTTTGGTAGGAAAAAACTTTCTTGATTTTTATTTTTTTGGTTGCTTCTAACATCTCTTTTTTCTTGAAAAGATTCGGGTGTCAGCTGTCATCTCAAATGCACCTTATATGCTCAATGTCGATTGTGATCACTACATCAACAACTCTAAAGCACTTAGAGAATCAATGTGTTTCATGATGGACCCCACATCCGGAAAGAAGATTTGTTATGTTCAATTTCCTCAAAGATTCGATGGTATTGATCGACATGATCGATACTCAAATCGTAATGTTGTGTTCTTCGATGTATGCAAACTAACTTTTCAACTCGATTTTTGTATATATAACGTTAATGTCATCATCATAAACTAATTTCAACTTTATATTTTGTATTAGATTAATATGAAAGGGCTTGATGGAATACAAGGGCCAATATATGTGGGAACGGGGTGTGTGTTTAGGAGACAAGCATTGTATGGATACGATGCCCCAACAAAAAAGAAACCACCCGGGAAAACATGCAATTGTTTGCCAAAATGGTTTTGTTGTTGTTTGTCATCAAGAAAGAAGAAAGGAAAAGGGAAGTCAAAGGAGAAAACAAGCAAGAGTAATAAGAAGAATAAAGAGACTTCACCACAAATACATGCGTTAGAGAATATCGAAGAAGGAATCGAAGGCAAGTATCGTGTGCTTTTAAGGGGACCAATTTCAAAACCTTTTTATGTCAAAAACCCTAATTATTATTTTTATTTTCTTCGTTTGAATATAGGAATCGATAGTGAAAAGTCATCACTCATGCCTCAAATAAAGTTTGAGAAAAAATTCGGTCAATCTCCGGTTTTTATCGCTTCAACACTTTTGGAAGACGGCGGTGTTCCTCCCGGAGCAACTTCCGCATCACTCTTGAAAGAAGCCATTCATGTTATAAGTTGCGGTTATGAAGATAAAACCGAATGGGGAAAAGAGGTATTCCATTAAAATCCTCTTCCACTCTGTAGGTCCTGTTTCGGTTTCTGTAACCGAAACAAGACCTATTTCGTGGGTCCTGTTTCATTAACCGAAACAGGACCCATGAATGACTAATATTTATTGCTCCATTTCACGGTCCCGTTTTTGTAACAAAACGGGACCAACGAAATGGACATGTGTAGTAGTTATTTTCTTATTTTAATATATACTTAATTAACTTTTTTTTTTTTTTAGGTTGGATGGATTTACGGGTCGGTTACGGAGGATATTTTAACGGGATTCAAGATGCATTGTCATGGATGGAGATCGGTTTATTGTATTCCAAAAAGGGCGGCTTTTAAGGGTTCGGCTCCTATTAATCTATCGGATCGTCTTCATCAAGTTCTTAGGTGGGCCCTCGGGTCGGTTGAAATCTTGTTGAGCCGACATTGTCCGATTTGGTACGGATACGGGTGCGGGTTGAAACCGTTGGAGCGGTTTTCGTATATAAATTCGGTTGTTTATCCGTTGACATCTGTCCCCTTGGTTGCCTATTGTACTCTTCCTGCTGTTTGTCTGCTCACTGGAAAGTTTATTGTTCCTGAGGTAAGTATTTTGAAAATCTATCAAAGATTAAAACGATTGATGATGACTGATGACTGATGAGATTGTTGTACAAATTTTCAGATAAGCAATTACGCAAGTATTCTCTTCATGCTCATGTTTTTATCCATTGCTGTAACAAGCATTCTCGAAATCCAATGGGGAGGTGTCGGGATTGATGATTTATGGAGAAACGAACAGTTTTGGGTAATCGGTGGTGTCTCAGCTCATCTTTTTGCCCTTTTTCAAGGTCTACTCAAAGTATTGGCCGGAGTCAACACGAATTTTACAGTTACGTCAAAAGGAGGAGACGATGGCGATTTTGCAGAGCTTTATATCTTCAAATGGACGACGCTCCTAATCCCGCCATTGACCCTCTTAATCATCAACATAATCGGTGTGATTGTTGGGATATCTGATGCGATTAGCAATGGATACGAATCATGGGGTCCGCTTTTTGGTCGATTGTTCTTCGCGATTTGGGTGATTTTACATCTTTATCCGTTCTTGAAGGGTATGATGGGGAAGCAAAGTGGGGTTCCGACGATTTTGATTGTGTGGTCGATCTTGTTGGCGTCGATTTTCTCTCTGTTGTGGGTCCGGGTCAACCCGTTTTTGGACAGGGGTGGGATTGTGTTGGAAGTTTGTGGATTGGATTGTGACTGAAGTGATACAGACATGAAGAAAGAAGAAAGAAGAATTAGAGATGTTACAAAAGAAAGAAGAAAGGTCTGGATGAAGGTTTTGATTGGTCTGTGAGTGAAATATTTATCAGTGAATGTGTGTAGATAAAAAGGGATCGGGACCTGATACATTGATGATGATTGATTTTGCAAAGTCTTTTTTTGTTTTTCTTTTTTTTGGGGTTAAATCTTTTTTATTGATTCTTTTAAATTTGGGTAATTTTTGTGGGTTGTGAGGGATAGACTTCAAGAAGAAGATGAATCTGTCTGTAATCCCATGAAGAAACATAAAGTTTAGCTATTTTTATATAATTTAATATCTTCTTTCTGGAATAAAACCACTTGTTCTTGTTTCCATCAATTTATGTTACATATTTCAGGCCATTTTTGGATTGAGCTGGAGTATATCTCTCAATTGAAGTTGAAAGATGTGGATTGAAGTTGGTTTTTAAGTTGAGCTTGAATAGTTGGACAATAGTGGACAACAGTTGTCTAATGATCTGTCTATGTCATCTTTGGATGTCGTGAAGCTTTGAAACACTCGACTTTGATCGTTTGTCGTTGTCATGGAACCTTAAAATAATATAAGTAACAAATATGTCCTTATAAATATAACCAGTTTTCATGTTAGTTATTTATATATTTTTTTGAACAAAGAAATAAATTATCAAGGAACTAGCTGCAAATATAAACAATACAAGAAATCAAATTAGGGTTTTTTAACAAGTTAGATGTCAAATCGGGATTAGATGAAGAATAAGTAAACTTACTACAACCCGATTTAAGCCAAGAAAGGAAATAACTAGAATTGAATCAAAAAGAACCTCCAGTCACAAAATCAAAATAAAATGTCTCACTTACCCAATCTGTTTCGATAATTTTCGCCTAGCTAAAACGACACTAACTTATTACATCTTGTTAACTCGGCAAAAAAACTGAGTTACTATCCAAATTCCAAAAAGTATGAGTTAAGAGAACAAAAACATCTAGATCCCCATAAAGACCCAAATACAAAAATCATCCTACACCCCTATAAAAAAATCTCATACAAATGGATATAAGTCTATCTTCACTTTGCAAACAAATCAAAAGTCTCCAAACAAAAAGTGATCTGAGTAAGAACCAATTTTCTTTTGGATCATCAAATTATCTTAAACACAATCGATCATCCCTCAAAACTTCGAAAAGCACACACAATTCCACTTTAATGAGCACAATGGACACTGTTTAATCAAACACACTCATATGACATAGGTTCATTATAAAAAATGTCACATTCATTTTATCAAAAGAGTCAGCATAACAAGCCAACCCCTGATCATCCAACATCTTCCGACGCAAAATTCTTTTTCCAGTTGACCATCTCCTCCCCATAAAAAGGTACATCTAAGCTAAGGTGATGTTTGTTTTTCGAAATAAAAACTCATGAAGTCTACAGACGACCTCTGTAACAGAAGAGGTGTACCAAACAGCTGCAACATGTAATAAGAAACATGTTTGTTTTTTAACATCTGTAGTAAATTGAAATTTAAATAAACTAATTTTATAAACTGAAAATAATTCTCAATACCGAAATTTTAATAATTATAATCTTAAAACATTGAAAGAATACTAAAAAGAACATGTAAAAAAACAAAAATATAAAATTTCTAAAAAAATCTAAAAAATATAAAAGAAGCTATCAGATTTATTCTAGAAAAGAAAAAAATTTAAAAACATAAAAAAAGAAAAAGAAAATAATAAATATTTTTTAAGAAAATAGTGCAAACGATGTTTACAAAGTTCGAAAAAAAATTACACATGCTAAAAAATATACAACCGAAACTAAAAATATTATTAACAAAAATAGTAAAAAAAAAAATCAAAGTTAAAAAAAAAAAGTTATAAAAAATTTTGGAAACTATAAAAAGAAAATGTATCAAATCCATAAATCAAAGTTTTAAAAAAAGTTATACCAAAACTCTAAAAAAAAAATTGAAAAAAATGAAATTTGAAGAGGCAAATCAAGTGTTGTGCCGGACACATAGATTTTGTAATCTATGAGGTGGCACGTGTTGCGTTGCGCCGCGCAACAATAAGTTGTCTGAAAAACTTTAAAAAAAAAAAACAAAAAACACCCAAGTCACTCCAAATCTTTAAGAACATCTTTAGGAAATTTGAACATTGAAAACAAATATTCACTCCAACTTTCCAAAATAGACTTTAGACTCCAAACATGTTTTATTATGTAAAAATGTACATCTAAACTAGTACATATTATTTCAAATACTTTTTTCTACAACACTGGTATAATATAATAAAAACTCATTAAACTAAGTATATTACAATCAAATTAGTATTTTCGTTATTTAAAAGGTAATATTGTAATTTAGTTAAATAATAAAATGATGGGTTTTATAGGTAACAAAAATCATATTTTTAGCGGAAAACCTAAAACCCTAAGTTCGCATACACCCTAAAGAATTTATATTCTCATTATGATATGCAAACAACAATTTGAATTTAAAAACCCTAAAGTACATTGCTATTTTTTATTTAGGAGAAGGGATAATAGAAAAAAATATCTTTTAGTTTATTACTATAAATAAACTATTAATCCTTCTTTGTAACTTCATAAAGTCAACACCAAAAATCTCATGCCTCTGATAACTCACACATAAACCCTAACAGTTTGAGGCTAAAGAGGAGAGAGGGGAAAGGAGAATTTTCAGAATTCTTTTGAGAGGTATGATGGTCGAAAATATGAAACCTAAAGAGGGTTTATATAGCTGATCAATGGAGCTAAGGATAAGGCAGTTTCCTACGATAAATCAGATCCCCTTAACTTCCTTCCTAAAGCATCCAAGGTACCTTTAATGCCCAGGGAAACCCTTGAACCATTCTAGAATTCGTCCAACCCTCTTGGGAGGTTCTAGAATTGGCCAATGTTCAATCTTTTGAACATTGTCACCTTTAGTCCGTCCACTTTTAGTTATTCCAATTAATCCCAAAATCAATTTCAATTAATTTATGATTAATTTATAATTAAACAATATAATTTCTAATTAATATATTTTTCTCAAGACATATTAATAAATTATTTATTTTGACTTCTAATTATTTTATTAATCATATAATAAATTAATAAATCAGTCTCTTTCTCCAAATAGCATTCTAGTCTTTTACTAGTCTAAGGGCAACCCAAAAGGACTTTGCTAACAATTTAGCTGATGTCCTACACACATAATCCAACATAAAAAATATATAAATATCATCTTTAATAATTTTCCATTCAATCTTATTATGAAATTAAAAGAAAGCTATAACATCCCAAATTTCAAGACCAAAAATTTCATTTTAAATTCAAAGATTTTATAAAACAGATTACTAAAAATGCCATCAATGTTATCTCATATCATGAAAATCATAAGTCAACCATCTCAAAAACGTCTCATAGGAAAATAATGTCAGAGTACAAATCTCAATAATATCGTGTGTAGAAAACCATGTGTGTGATGCATTGCTATCGTGTCGGCTCCTTTCCCTTCGAAGAAGAAGGACCTGTAACAAAAATGAAAATTGTAAGCACAAAGCTTAGTAAGTTCCTCCATCATACCACATACCATACAATGATTATACTGTCTAATATATCCGGGTACTCGACTACCCCTTCGGTCTCTTTCAATCGGTAATTACCTATCATATCAGGGTGATTGTAACGACCCAATTTTCATGTCCAAAAATTTCATTTTTAAATATTACTTTAGAAAACATTAATAATTAAAAACATTGTTTGGTCACAACATAACACATCGCAAACCATGTTTTAAAAGTCAAACCATACATCCCATCAAATATCAGAGTACAATCCCAGTGAATCTCGTAAATGCGGAAACCGAAGAGTGTGTGTGTGACATGCTGCTACCGTGCCGGCTCCTTTCCCCTAGCTGAGGAGGTACCTGAAACCAAAACTGAAACCGTAAGCACAAAGCTTAGTGAGCTCCCCCATAATACCCCATACCATATAGCATATGACAAATGACATGCAATTAGGAGATACGGGCCCCGCCCACACTCGTTAGGATACGGGCCCCGCCCACACCTCACTTTCTGAGAGATACGGGCCCCGCCCACACTCGTGAAGATACGGGCCCCGCCCACACTTCGCTACCTGGGAGATACGGGCCTAGCCCACACTCCATTCTCGGAGGGATACAGGCCTCGCCCACACCCAACCGTCAACACATATCATACAAGTATCACGCAGACAACAAGTATAAACAGTTCTATCATACTGGTGTATATCACGATCAACTCGACTAATAGATACGGGCTCGGCCCACACTATAATACTAACGTCCCATCTATACGGGCCGGCCTTGGTGCCTTAGACCCGTTACTAATGAAAGGAAACTCACCTCGAAGTAGCTGCTGGTCTGTATGGGAATTGATTGTTAGGTTTTATACAAACAATCCTATGTGTGCATGCAACCCTAGTTTGGATCTATGTTTTCACTATAAGACATACAACTTTATGAACACAAAATAAACCCTAGCATGCTTCTATAATTTTCGAAATTTACATAGAAGTGTAGAAAACATACCTTTGTTGTTATATAGCAATAACAACTAGTTTCCTTGATCTCTTGAACTCTCTAGAACTCTTGAAAGCAAGCACCACAATTGTAGTGCCTCTAATGGCTCACAAACACCTTGAAGCAAGAAGGCAACTAAGAGAGAGAAGGGAATGATGCTAATTTCGGCCCTAGGGTTCCCTTGGAATCAAGTGGCCTTAAATTGAAGCATAGGGTATGTATTTATACTATAGGGTGCTAGGGTTTCAGACAAAACCCTAATGGACAGCTTAGCCACCAAGCAGCCCAAGAAACCTTATAGAATGAGGCCTTGGACGAAAATATGATGATCCTTCATCATAATTTCGTTCCCCTTAGTCCATTAGGTTTCCTAGCCCAAAACCCAACTATCACACAATTGACAGTTTAT